TGAAGCTATGCAGCCAGCTATATGCCTATTTAATCAACTGATTTATCGCCTTAAGCAATTAATCTGGATTTCCTTCATTTGATTATGCCCCCTCCCCTCAACCACTGGCAACTGCGAATTTTTTATGACCTCCAGCTACAAAAATGAGAGATTTACGCTTTCTGTGATCTTGCTGGCCGTCCACAAGTTACTTATTTCCGTGGATAGGCCATGCCCAAGAGGTGTTAATTAAGGATGATGGGAGTTGTCATGCAAAACACTGGCAAGACAGGAGGCTGGGGACGCCTGGTTCATCTTTAAAAAGGCCACCAGATTCCATCTGCTATTTGTGCACATTTCTATTATCTCTTTGATGCCGAATCGTTCAAGGCGGATCCCGCAGTTTCAGTGGAGGGTGGACAATTTCATTCTCACAGACTCTTCTGGCTTGATGTCAGCAAAAAGGAAGCGCAGCTGGTGGTGAGGAATGATGGGTGTTGTATTCCCCAAGCATCTGGAGGGCTAGGAGTGGCCCAAAGCTTAAAATCTATATCATCTAAGAGATATTCTATCGAATGGGAGTGGGATAAGTTCTGTTGGCTTCCCAAACCTTGTGCCCAATCACTCTCACCAGCCCCAGTCAGCACAGCCATAGGCTGGGAGTTATGGGAGTTGTAGTACCCAGCAGCTAGAGGACCAAAGGTTCCTCACCTGATACCAAAGGAGAAAAGGAGAAGGGAAGGGAAGGATATGGTCAGGGGTATAACTACGTGGAGATATATAGCACTTTCCAAACACCTGGAAGGTACTCACAATCTGTCCTCACTCATCCCAGAGTGCAGAACACATAATAAGGGGCTCAAGATACAAGAAGCCATATTTAGGCTGAATATCAAAAAAAACACCCTTCTTAACTGTTAGAGCAGTACGACAATGGGAGCAATTACTTTGAGAGGTGTTGAGCGCTCCAACGTTGGAGGCGTTCAAGCGAAAATTGGACAACCCTCTCTCAAGTCTGCTTCGATTTGGCTTCCTGCCTTGAGCAGGGAATGCAAGCTGGTGGCCCCATAGGAAACTTCCAACTCTTATCGTTCTATGATTGCCTCAGGTGTACAGTCGTGCCCCGCTGGACAATTACCCCGCTCTACGACAAATCTGTATTACGGCGACAGGGCCCCGCTGGAGGATTACCCCGCTCTACGACAAATCCGTATTACGGCGACGGGGGAATTTCGCTTCACGTTGATTGGTTCCGTTTCGGGAACCGATTTTTCGCTTTACGACAATCAGCAAACAGCTGATCGTCGGGTTTCAAAATGGCCACCAGCTTTCAAAATGCCCCCCCCGCTGTTTTCTAGGACGGATTCCTCGCTTTACGGGCACCAAAAATGGCCGCTGTATGGAGGATCTTCGCTGGACGAGCAGGTATTCAGCCCATTGGAACGCATTAACTGGGTTTTAATGCGTTTCAATGGGTTTTTTAATTTTCGTTTGACGATGTTTTCACTCTACAGCGATTTCGCAGGAATGAATTAACATCGTTAAGCGAGGCACCACTATATTAGGTCCAAGCCCTTCTGGGTCAGAAAAGAATCGGGTTTCCTGTTATCTTTATGCTCCCTTAGATCCCCTTTCCTCCAATAAGCTCACCATCAGGTACACAGTTCTTCCTGTTTCCACATCATCCCGAGAACAACCCTGTGAAGTAGACCAGAGGGGAGTCAAGAGACTCAGCCAAAGTTAACCCAGGGAATTTCACAGCTCAGCGAGGACTTACACCTGATTCTTCGACTGCTACTTTCATGGCTTGAGCGCGCTGGTTCTCGTTCCCTCAACTGCCCCAATGCAGTCAGCTTTGGCGTGGGGGGCGGCCTGTTTGGGAGGCTATGGAAGGGGCCCCCTTCATGGGTATAAGGGTCATTTGAATTCCCTGGTGCTCCTGGACCTGCAAGACTGAACACAATCAATGGGGTATTTTGGCTGCTTAAGAACAGGTCGTGTAGAGTTAATTGTTGGGTTATCTACCAGAGCAGAAGAGCGTACCGTACCCATGCGTATACAGGGATTACAAGAAAAATGGTCTTCTCGTCTTTTTCCTAAACCAGCAACAAGCGATTCCTACTTAAGTCTGTTGACTTTCCTGGTCTGGCACCTGATTTTCCACTTTGATTGGAACGCTCCTTTGTTCAAATAATTACGTTTTGCGTGCTAAACTTTGCAGATTTCAAGGAGAGATCAAAGCGTAGGAAGGCATTAAAGGCGCACACACGGGTTTTGTGTACCAAGGGCTTCTCTGGCTGAGCTTTAATTCATCCGTCAGACGGCTCCGAGGGCCAACGGAGCCTATAGCCACCCACGAGTTAATCATCAAGGGAGAAGGGTATGGTTCACGCATTAGCAGGCAACGAGTCACCATTTAGCTCAGGGTAATCATGGCTGGCCTGCGATACCCACTGGGCTCTTTTGATGCGGGCCCCACAAAATGTAAGGAATGCAGAAATTGCAAACCATAAATTAAGAAGAACGTTTCCCCCCCTACACCTCTCCCTGAGCCAAACTCTATGACACCATTGATCGAGACCCTGTTACAGATGCCCCATAGCTTCACGGTCTGTGAAGTCCACTTCCATTGCCAATTAAGAGGTGTATGACTATTTACATCACTCGGGAGTGCTTAGGGAAGAAAACCTCTCCAAAGTGTCATAAAATATGTTAATGCAATTAAGAGACAATGACTGTAGGAGACAGTTAAAGTTGTGGAAGTGAAATGTACCATCCATATGGGCTTTGTATGGCTGGTGGGTAGAGACGGGCACGAACCGGTTCGTCCTAGTTCTTAAGAGGTGTATGACTATTTACATCACTCGGGAGTGCTTAGGGAAGAAAACCTCTCCAAAGTGTCATAAAATATGTTAATGCAATTAAGAGACAATGACTGTAGGAGACAGTTAAAGTTGTGGAAGTGAAATGTACCATCCATATGGGCTTTGTATGGCTGGTGGGTAGAGACGGGCACGAACCGGTTCATCCTAGTTCATAAAGGTGGCAGCACAGGTGCTGATGTTCCCCTTCCCTGCCTCCTCTGGCTCAAGCAGCCCCTCACCAGGCCCAGCCTCCATGATCTTCAACTGGTCTTCCAGTCCCGGCAGCAGCTCAGGCTTCTCTGCCCCCTCCGTCTTGGCTGATCTCCCTGGTCTTCCAGTCCCGGCAGCAGCTCAGGCTTCTCTGCTCCCTCTGTCTTGGCTGATCTCTCACTCAGACCCAAGGGAAGGGGCAGAGAAGTCTGGGCTCTTGCCCATGACTGGGAGATCAGCTGAGGAGGTGGGAAAAGCAAGAAAGCTGGGCCTGAGGAGTGGCCGAATTGCCTGAGGAGGCAGGGAACCGCAGCATCTCTGCTGCTAGTCCCGGCAGCAGCTCAGGCTTCTCTGCTCCCTCTGTCTTGGCTGATCTCTCACTCAGACCCAAGGGAAGGGGCAGAGAAGTCTGGGCTCTTGCCCATGACTGGGAGATCAGCTGAGGAGGTGGGAAAAGCAAGAAAGCTGGGCCTGAGGAGTGGCCGAATTGCCTGAGGAGGCAGGGAACCGCAGCATCTCTGCTGCTGCCTTTACAAACCGGGACGAACTGGTTCACGCCCATCTCAACCGGTGGCCATTTCAAACATCCTAGACCTGACACCTTCTAGCAGCCCAAAATGATAAATGGGTCGCTCTAACCCCTTAAGAAAAAAGTTCAGCCCTAATGCTTCAAGCAATGCTGCGTAAGATCTCCTCCTTCTATTTCAGTAGCTCACAACAGCCGTATTTGGCCATTAGAGCCTGTATCTGGGCAGGGTTTGAGGAACGGTTGGCAGGGAGATACCTAGGAGTCACCTCCCGCATCCCTCCCAGAAGACAGGCAGACCTTTGCAGAGGTAGGCATTGGCGAATGTCTGTGGAATGGACATGACAAACATTTCTCTTTTGGAGACTTCTTCTGGGAACGTACGGAGGCCTGCCTACCTGCTGGCATTCCAGGGGCAGTGGGCACCTGTTGGTGGAGGGGGACTCGCATCCCCACCACATTCCAAGCCTTATCCCACTTCAGGCTCCAACGCTTGAATAGGGCTAATTCAATTGGCACAGCTGTGTGACCCTCCCCCAAGGGCACCATAAGAACTGTAGAAGGGTCTTAGAATCAAATAACTGGCACTGCTCCGTGTTATTTCTTGCAACTGGCAAGGATACCCACTAGGGTCAGAGCTTGGAAAAATAATGTTTTGGTCCTATCACTTCCAGATACCCCAACATGCAGTGATGTGCCACTGAACTCTCAAGACAGTCCGGGAATGTCCCAGACAAAATGCTTAGAGTTCCAGGACCACACCTAGAAGCACCTATAGTTCATTCACCTGACCCAGGACCTACCTTGAAAGCTGCACAGCTGTCTCTTGTCTTGCTTCCTGTTGTTAATTTCCAAAGAAAGAAGCTACAATGATACTTCTTGGGAAGACTAGTTCTTCAGAAGGTGCCATCTAGACTCCCTAAAGTGCAGTTGAGACTACAACTCCCAGGAAGTACCGTGCCAGCTTCTTCTTTTTCTTCTTTGGTAAACTAACAACAGGAAGAGAGCCCGAGACAGCGATGTAGATCCCCATGTACGCTCTGCTTCCGGTGAGCAAAAAGTAGGTGTCTGAAGGAGCAGGTCTGTGGGCTGGAACTCCCAGAATTACGTGGGTCTGTGGGCTGGAACTCCCAGAATTATGTCTGGAAAATTTTGGGAATTAAAAGTAAAATATAACTGAATGACACCAACAGGGCCATGCTAGCTGAGGGATTCTGGCAATTGCAATCCAAAAAATTTTTAATTTCTCAAGCTCTGATCAGGACCCGATGATGAGAAAGGGAACCACAAAGATCATCAACCCCATCCACGGAGTTGATCCTTAGCTGATACACTTGCAGAGCAGACACAGTGAAGGAAACAACTTTGCACCACCTTCATCACTTTTCGGTTCATACACAGAAATTGCTTCCGAGTAAGGATAGGTTTTCGACCCATGGCATATTTATTAAATTTGATCGACATCCTGATCCACAGCAAGGGATAGGATTCAATTTTTGAGCTCCACTCCAGCCCTTGCTCAAGGGTTGAAGACCCAAACAAAAGAGTGTGGCATAAATCGAGGAGCTGTTTGGAAAATCCAAATACTCTCTTTTTGGGTCTATAATGGTTTAAGTAAAAAAAGCAAACCCAACCGGTTCTTTTATAAAGCAAAAGGGCTCAAAGAAGATGGCTTAGACATCAACTGGGCATGACTGGCCTTCAACCAACAGAAGGCCAATCATTCCATTCAGGTCAAAAAGTCTGGGGACTTCTGTTAGCTGGAACATCTCTCCTTTTTGGTCTTTGGACACCCTCGGCCGTATCTCTACCTCGCTTTTTGCACTTTTTCATGTCCTTTTTCTTTGATCGTGGCCCTTCTGCCTCATTGTTTTCTGCATCTGATGCTCCGGAGTAAACCACTTTCTTCTCTTGGGTGCTCTTGGGGGATTCGTTGTAAGACTGTTTGGGGTCAAGGCTGGTGTGCTTAGACTTCTTTCTTTTCTTTTCCTTCTTCTTCTTCCTCTTTTTCTGTGCCTCCAGGACACCCACTTCTCCTCCACTTGAGTCAAGCATCTCAAGATCTCCCAGCTCAGGTTGACTCTCGCTTTCAGGTTCAACGTGCTTACGGCTCTTTTTTTTCTTAGGCTGAGATTCCAAACCCACGGACGTCTCCATGGCCATTGAGGGAGGAACAGCTGATCCAGAATCAACCTTCGGCTGGCCTTTTTTGAGTTTGGCCATGCGCTTGGCGAAATATTCCTGCACGGTCAGGGTGCTAGTCACTGTGTTTCCAGCCTCCACTTGTTCAGGGAGTTCCTCGTCCGGTTCCTCCTTCTCTTTTGGGGTCTCCTCTAGGGCGGCCGCCTTGGCACCACCGACCTGCAAGATGAGGAGTAGAGGTCAGGATAAGGCAGTGAACATACATCTGTTTTTTTGTTTTTAAAAGTACACATGTTTCAATACAGGCAGTCAAAGCAGAAATCTTTCTTGTTGGGGTGCTAAAATGAAGAAATGTCTGCAAAACCGGTGACCTGCTAAGCTTCACGTCGCCCAGCAGCAAACGCATGGTGGACCACCAGGAGCTGAGACTTGATCTGCTGTGTTCACTGCCTATCTAGGAAAGCAACAGCTGAGAGGGGTGACAGCAGCAAAGACCTGGCAGATCCTAAGCACACCCCAGCGCTCCAACTCCCACGATGCTTTAGCCATCACGGCCACTGGCTAAAGATCCTGAGAACTACAGGCTTAGAAGGAAGAGGAAGCAGTAGGAACAGCTCTGTGTTTTTGGGCCAAACACAACTATAGGGGAGGTGGGCAGCATTTGGCTGGGAAATCTTGGTACATATTATCTTGCACCTCTTAAACACCAGGAGCTGAGACTTGATCTGCTGTGTTCACTGCCTATCTAGGAAAGCAACAGCCGAGAGGGGTGACAGCAGCAAAGACCTGGCAGATCCTAAGCACACCCCAGCGCTCCAACTCCCACGATGCTTTAGCCATCACGGCCACTGGCTAAAGATCCTGAGAACTACAGGCTTAGAAGGAAGAGGAAGCAGTAGGAACAGCTCTGTGTTTTTGGGCCAAACACAACTATAGGGTAGGTGGGCAGCATTTGGCTGGGAAATCTCGATACATATTATCTTGCACCTTTTAAAGACATCTGGGTCAATGGAGATTCGACTTAGACTTTTCGACTTGCAGCCACCATTCCAATACGGATTAATTCCTTAAGTAGAGGGTCCACTGTACCACTATACACCTCCCTCAACATAGCTGATATTCTTTCGGTCACTATGCTGGGCCAGATCTGGTTAATACTCGGATGAGAGGTCACCAGGGAATAGGATGGGTCTCCAGGTGGGGCTAGGAAAGAATCCGTCCATGCAGAGCTGGCACCGCAGCCTGTTGCAGCTTGACCCCTTGTTTGTTAGAGTCTGACTCAGGCCAGATCTGGTTAATACTCGGATGAGAGACCACCAGGGAATAGGATGGGTCTCCAGGAGGGGCTAGGAAAGAATCCATCTGAAACCCTACAGAGCTGGCACTGCAGCCCGTTGCAGCTTGACGCCTTGTGAGTCAGAGTCTGACTCGCTATAAGACAGCATCTTATCTTCCTAAGGATGGATTGAGGGGTATGCAGGTGTGTAGTAACAGGGTGACTTTTTGTTTCACAGAACAAAACTGTGAAAGAAACCCAAACAGTCAAGTGTTGGGCACAGCCCATGTCAGAGGCCGGAATCATGACACTGGAAGGGACCTCTTAAGGCCATCCAGTCCAACCCCCTGCTCAAGGCAGTAATCTAAGTCAAAGCAGATCTGACAGAGGGTGGTCCACGTTTCTCTCGAAGGCCTCCAACATTGGAACATTCATCACCTCCCGAGGTCATGGGTTCCATCGTCGTACTGCTGCAACAGTTAAGACTCTCCCCCCGCCCCCGATATTCAACCTAAATCTGGCTTCCTGTAGCTTGAGCCCATTATGACATGTCCTGCACTCAAGGATGTTTGAGAACAGATCCCATCCCTCCTCTGTAAGACTATCTTTCAAGTATTTGAAAAAGTGCTATCCTATCTCCACCAACATGAATTTGACCCAATTCCGGGAGGCAGTGGAAAGCAGGAGGGTCTGGTGTGCTCTGGGGTCTAAGAGTCAGACACAACTTAACGACTAAACAACAAAAAGACAACAATCCTATCTCCCCGCTCACTCTTCTTTTCTCGAGGCTAAACAAGGAATCCTTAGGGTTGCAATTTTTATTATTATTATTATTGAAAAACAGGGCTGCATTTCTTGGGGGATTCCTCAGTGCTACAAGAAACCTAAATGGAATCTTAAGTACAAAGTTATTTTGTTCCCCTGGACTTCGTCTTTGACGGGCAGGGCTACGAGGAAGTTGCCCTCTCAATGTACTGCTAACTGTAGGCCGACGGCAGAGCCCGTCATTTATGCACCCAAAGTCCCAGGTTCAAGTCCTGACAGCCCAAGACAGGGCCAGGAAAGAATTCCTGGGGGGAACCTTGGACAACTGATGCTGCCAGCCAGAGTTGACAATACTGGGTGCAATGGAACAAGAGTGTGACTTTGGTCCGAGGGTGCTTCGCAATGCTGCTACGCACGACTTACTGCAATCAGGGCTTAACAAATACCCAAACAATGTGCAACAAAGGGCAAGTTAGTATTGTGCTGTCAGACTTAATTAGGTCTCCTTGTGCTCTTAAAGCGAGGATAATTTATTTAATCTATTTATTTAAAATATTGATATGCTCACTTTCTCCTAAAGGATCCGAGGCGACGGACAGAATAACGAGAAACAAAGTTAAAAACCAAATAATACATTACAATATTACAAAAGCATTACAGAAATGCCATCTTAAAACTCGTAAGATCAAAAATTAAAAACACCGGTAAAACATAGAATAAAAGGCTCTCTTAAAAAATATCATCCTTGGTCAACCAGTCATTTAAACTTTAGAGAAAGCCTTTAGAGAAAGTTCTTCACCTGTTGGCGGAAGGACAGCCAAGATGAGGCCAGCTTGGCTTCCAGTGGGAGGGGGTTCCAAAGTCTAGAGGAGCAGCCACAGAGAAGGTTCTCTCCCGTGTCCCCACCAGATGTGCCTGTGAAGGTGGTGGGACCGAGAACTTTCGTTGGCTCACAGTCTTCTTGTTGGCTTCGGCTACCGATCACAGGGTTGCCTCTAAGCTTGTCTCAAACATCCTACAAGGTCCCTTGGTGCTTTTTCCTTGCCAACAAGTCATGGTTCTCTGTCTGGAGTATGTGGCCCAAACTGCACATGCTGGAGACCATCAACTGGTGAATGTTTTAAGTCATCTCAGAGTTGGCATGGAATCCCGGAGGGAAGCCACGGTCAGTGAGATCAATCACAGGCCATGGCTAGCATCTCATTTGCTCCAGTCATCATGAAAGGGCAACAGTCTAAAGAGTCTTTCCCTCTTTGCATAAGCAGGCAAGCACTGGCGGTGAAAATGACAAGCCTGATGGTGCAAGGGGTAGAGGGTGGGGAAGGCTTTCCCTTACATATATACATAAGTTGTGATGGCTCTTTGGGCCCATACCCTAGAGCCATGGGTGGGTCCTCCAGCCGCCTGCAAAGTGAACCAAACTACCACCTCCCCGTGGAAACTCTGCAGTGAGGCTTCCTCCACATCCCCCCCCCCGATCGCCATCTGGGGTGTCTGGTCGTCATCTGGGCGTTAGTGATATGGTACAGAATCTGCAGGTTTCCAACCAAGTCTGTTTGGAAGGGGCACTTCATAATGGGAAGGAACACAGGGAATTGTACCAGCACCAGCACTGGCTTCCAACCCAAAACCAAGATAATAATTCTTTGACCTCCCTATCAGCCTGGTCCTTCAAAAACATCTCCTACAGCCTCAGGGAAGGGGGGTGAACCTTACTCTAAGCTTCCCGGTGTGTTTATGTGCGTGTTCTGTGCTGTCTCGTTGGAACCGACTCATAGTGACTCTCATAAAGCTTTCAAAGTAAGCCAGGCATTTAAAGAATCCACCTTCCCCACTGAGATTCCATGGCCAAGTGGGGATTTGAACTCTGTTCCCTAGAGTCCTAATCCATCGCTCTACCCACTACACCCCATTGGGCATCCCCTCAAGGCTCCCTAGAGTGCTCTAAAGGCCATTGCTTTGGGTTTCACCTCCAGCTAGCAAAAGGGATGGTCAGGGAGGTTGGCCATCATCATCTGAAAAACCTAGAAAGTATGAGGTTGGGGAAAACTGCCTTACTCATTGCTTCCTTCTCATTACAGGAAAGTCTGACTTTGATGCAAGACAAGCTGCTTCCCACCCGCTTCTTACTTATTCTACGTTGAATGTGAACTCCACCTTTCCTTCAAGGAGGTGAAGAGGGCCTTGCTTTTCTCCCGGACTTTTTTCAGGCCAACACCACCCACAAGGAGGTAAGGTCAGCCTATGGAAGAGGGACTGGCCGGCCACTGAGTTTTCAAGGCTCGGTGGGGATGGGAAAATGGATCTCCCAAGGACGGATCCCTGTGGGACTCCATGCTCCAGGATGATTCGCCAAGACCCTCATGCATATTAATATGAAATAATGTTCCTAAGAGGGCGGGAGAAACAGCCCCCCTTTGGAACCAAACCGAAGCAAAAAGTGCCATTCCTTAAGGACTCCCAAGAACGTGAAACTCTGTTTTATGGTCTGAAATTGTTAAAAACATGGACTGGGTGATGGTAGTGTAAAAAATGCACTCTTTTGAGTGCTCTCCCTATGCTTCAGTTTCTTTTAAAGGCCAAGAAACAGGAATTATGGGGTGTAACTCTTGGTTTATGCTATTAAGCACATGGGAAGTCAGGAACCAAAACATCTCCCATTTTTCTTTTCCTTCCGACCGCAGAACAATTTTGACGCCACATTTCACATGATGATAAATGTCTTTCTCTCTCCCCCCCCCATCCCTGCCTGCCTGCCTAGCGATAACCTCAGGGGCTACCTGTTCCCTCATGGCTCAGCCACCGTCAGCAGCCTTTTAGCTTTTCACTTCACGGTGTGTTTTGAAACTACCTTTCCGATTCCTGCCAGGGACATGAGAAGAAAACCCTTGCGACCCAGCACGGATGAGCCAAACACGGCGAGAGGATGTGAAAAGGGAGAAAGAATTATCGGGAGGTCAACAACAGCAGGCGTGCTCACAATCCCCGGCCGTTGCCTGAAACCCATGACGACACCTGAGAAGACGGATGCCAGTCAGCGGCTTCTGTATCGGCAGGAATTTTAATAACCACGGACCGCTGAGCATGGGAGTCAGCGGGGCATGGAGGCAGGTAAAGGCCGTGTCAGGTCCCAAACAGACTCCGACATTCCGTTTCAGAGCCACTTCCCCCGGGGAAC